GTAAAACAAGAGAAAATTAAATACTGTTTCTCGAAATTCATGCAGAAACATAACTATATGAATAAATAAGTATTATGTCGAATAGAAAATCTAACCCAAAGTCCATGCAACATAATATGGCACACGTTGAAAAGCCATTACAACATACAATACAAATAACCAATGGACCCAATTCACGTTCATATATTTATCGATGATAATATCAGGAGTAAAACAATCACCAAAAAAAACATATAACAACATGAACACTGTCGCTTGTAATAATTTAGTTAATACTGCACGCCAGGGCTTTTCAATCTGCAAATTAATTATGAAGTTACAAATTAACTTGCAATATTATTTTTCAAAATTCTTGGATGCATGGCAATATCCTTTAGTTGCAAATAAAAGTAATAGCTAAATCAGAAAGACAATGAAAGACCACTATATTGTATGCGACTATGACAAAGCTTTTGCTACTAGAGTAGTATTTCCAGGTATTAATTTGTTTTCTTATTTGGTAGCAGTGTTTTCACCCAAGCTAAGTACTATTTGACTCATATTAAGTGTTGTTGTTTGTACGGAAGAAGTTTTCTGATATATTATTAATTATGAATGATTATACTGTATCCTGTATTACTATATTACACTGTATCCTGTGTTACTACCCTTCACTCCGTTTCTAGATAAAATAATTAGAGTCAAATAGTACTAACCTTTCCATCTTTACCAACAGCAGCTGCTCCATTAATCCACGCCATGTAATCCGTATAAAAACAAGCTGGTCCTGTTAAAACTGCTTGAAAGTGAAACATGTAACTCAGAAAGCTCAAAATATCAGGTACTGATCTGTAACAAATAATGAAATACCAGAATGTCCACACATTTTGCTGATTGTGCTTTTTAAGTCTGATGCAAATATACATCAAGGCCGCGAATAATATTGGTCCTCCAAAGTCTGCTACAAGCATCACATTTATAACTTGCCCCGCAGTATTAAGCCTCTTCTATATTAAATTAGCACTGCAAAATAGCCCTACACAATAAAACAGAAACAAATTAGCATCGCAAATTAAGGTAGAAACTTCAATTATGGTAAAATAATTTTTCAATAAGTAATTATAATGACAACAAGCGGGAATAAAATTCGTACTTACGTCAGGGCTTCTTTTTTCTGCAAATCATTTAACTCTTCGCTTTTCTTTATTCTTCCGTCATGTAAAGTAAAAGCAAGCACTGTAAGCTTTTGAACGAGTATCTACAAAATAAAAAAGAGTGTATGTCAAAATAGAAGTATATATTATGCAGCTTGCGTCTTACTAGATGATAATGATTGCAAGACTTTTAATTTGAGCAAAAATATCCAGTCTTCATCTATTTTAAAATTTTCCACTGATCTGATGACACTTTTGGCGGCGATAAAACAACAAAAAGACAACGAACCATCATTGGACCGGTAACATCAAGATAGTAAGCAGTCAATACATACCAGCGATACCAATGTAGGAAAACGAGGTAACCCATAGCGAATATAAATATACATCTGTGAAAAAAAAAAACATAACTATCTCTAAGCATAAACAAAACTCTAATTATACTGCAGATTAGAAATAAACAAATTATAGAATCTACTTTCATGACTGTGTTCTGCAGAGAAAGACTATAAACTTCTTGAATCAACTAAATTATAGGTGATAAAAAAACTCCGTTATCTGTTCTAAGTCTCTACAGTTTCTATGTTTAATTTGTTTTTTTGTAATTTTACATATAACAATATTTTTAAAGTCCTTACAACATCTAAAGAGCATTACTGATCAGATTATTGTTACGACCAGAATCCTTTCATCGGATCTTTACCTCTTTTAAAAAATGATATGGGTGCCTTACTGCTTCTGTTCCGCAAATGAAAATCCGTTTTTTTCACTTTTTCTACTTACCTCGACACATCTCATAACGTCACAAAGAGGACATCTTAACAATGGCAACCAATCACTTATTTTTACAACAAATAAATTTTAAATTATTGCTATGTTTTTAGAAATAATTCGTATAATCTGAAATTTAAGGGCTTACATGTGTACAATTTTTGGTGGAGAGAGACGCATAATTGCATACGACAAGCCAACTAATAATATCAAATGCTTCAGTGCACTGAAAAGATGTACGTTGATTCTAAAATTATAAAAACCAAATGATTAAGGAATTTTGATAGCTTTTTCAGTTTTGATTTAATTGTAGTTATCAAAAAAGCAGATATCCAAAGATCAAAAGTGATACATTTAAAACAGGAATTTCGTTGCTAAATTTACTCCTATTTTTGTCAATTATGTCGTAAAATTTCAATATATTTCAAGATATTGTGTTATAGATATTTTCTGACACCATAGTATAACGTTCCGAAGTGACATATTCAAGATCCTGAGTTATGTCTTCTGTTACTCTCTAATGGAAATCTAATTACTGCATCACTCCAATGAAAACAAACATAGAAAAAAACGTACTTTCCAAAACAAAAATAACAAAATATTAAACCCAAAATGGTAGGGCATGCAACACGTATTGTTCGCGAAAATCGAGTTGATGAAAATGTACAATAGTGAAGATAAGCTAATGGTAACGATGTGAGCTGACATAAAAGCAAGTTGACCTAAAATAGAATTATGTGAAAAAAATAAAAACAAAAGCACACTACTAAAAAACTATTATTACGGATGATAAGTAATGCATAATTTTGATACAAGTATTGCAACTTCTCGATTGTTCATTTCCTCTGATGTCATAAAGAAATGTCTAAACTCACAGTTTATAAATAATACGCAACTACTAATGTGTGAAAAAATGAATCTAATGGGTGAATGAGGAGCTATTTGTGAACAAAAAAATTCTGGAATTATAATTTATTTTGCATCAATTACATAATATGATTAGCAAATTCTCGTTTTTATTTGTTCAATTTCAATGGCTAAATAATTTCTAAATAAAAGATTATGAGTAAAAATTAGAAATCCAAACAAACAACACTTAACCTTGTCAACTTCAAGGCCAGTCGCATCAGCAATTGGTTGTAAAACAGTCGAGCCATCGTAGAATGTATGTGTACCCGGCATTGTTAACAATTTTTTCACTAGTATATTTATACTAATGCCTGAAAAGGGATGTAGTGGATGAAACTGGAAAGCTCTGGCAGCTATGAATATCTTCGCTCAGCAAGTTGACATGATTAAACAGAGTAATATGAATGAATGTGGTCCTACCAGAAGTAACTTTTATGCTAGCCAATACCATGTGTTTGCGAAAACTTGAACAGAGATTTAAATCAGTAAGTAATTAACAATACTTACTTTCAAATGTTCAACTCCTAACCACAATCCATATACGGGATCATGACTTAACCAACTGTTATCTCACCATAGGCAAACTAATCAACACTTTACTAGTTAATTTCAGACCACAATCGGTTTAACAATCCCAAGTTTGTTACTTTGACGACCCACAGTGAAATAGCCAACATTCATTTTTACACGGTGGAAGGATTTCATATGTGTTAGATTCTGCCAGAAAATTTTAGTGGAAGGAAATGATAATAAAAAGTGATAATAGAATATAATAAATGATCAAAAAAAAATTGGTTGCTATTGAGCATTTACTTAGTCCTTTCACAGAGAATGAAACCACATCTAATCGAACTCCCAATTCTCCCTTTCTCCAATATCGTTTATCGAAGGCGTATATGTATGTAAGTACACAAGCTTATCATCACTGTTCTTTTTATTTTTTCATCTAACACTGATTACTGGTTATTATCAGTATATGGAGAGCATGACAGCCCAAAGACTTTTTTTGATAAAATCTCATTTCTTCGGCATCTCTTTCCATTTTTTTTTTTTTGTTAGGGAAATACTATGCCATAATGAATGAAGGAAAAAGTAAAGAATAGAGCGGTAGTCATATACAATAACGTGAACTGAACAGTTTGCAACCGTTAAACTTGGCCACACTTCATTAGCAATAATTCTATTTTGCAGTTATTTACTCATAGGCTTCATTTATTTCATTCACAAAAGCAGGAAAGGCGCGGTGAGGATTGCTGACTATTATGTAATGAGTTTTGAGGACTGAATCAGCTTACTTCCTTCCTTCTTTCCTTCCTTCTTTCCTTTCCGGTTTAGCTTAAAACACTTATCACAATTTCCGGATGCGTTATTTTGCTTTATGCTGACTGCATTGCAGAAAATTATTGTCGAGTATGGCGATGATTATAGCATCATCACTGAGTATTTTTTTTCCGATCGATCAAGATGAAATATCAAACAATAATAGTAAAGTTATTTATAAATACAGGCAAGAGATTTGCAGAATTCTTTGAAACTCAAACTTAAAAAATGTTTTAAATTTGAAGAGAGAAATTAGTTCATGAGCAAAAAGTTTGTTTTATTCTTTTGATGTTAGATTACGGTAGCAATTTGTAAAATTGGTAGTTATGCGTTTGTGGATGGAATTTACGAATCTATTCAAATTGGTATAGGAAGAAAAGGAAAAATTCAAGGTAAACAACAGCAATGATAAAAATTATAGAATTAAAATGGAGTGATTATAACATTGATTTTTCATTATCGTTTTTCCGATTCCAAAAATGGAGAATAAACTCCGTTAAGGAACTATCAGAAGTAATGTCTCATAGAGGCTCAGTATTCATTTCAATATGTATATAAATATTTCTAGTGACCATCCTTCCCGATCATTTTTTCCTGTTCATCCTTTCCGATCATTTTTTAGAAAGCATTGAAAAAAGCAAGCTTATTTCGGATTATAAATTAAAATAGCAAAATTTTATTTCTTCTGCTTTTGTATTTCCGAAATGAAATTATGCAAACAGAGAGATGTAGGGAATAAATGCATACATAATTTTATCATGATGCATTTTTTCATGGTTTGCAAGCAAAAATCTTTATTGACTCAAAATTGCCAAGAAATAATCTCTTTTTTTCTGGACATTGGCAGTCGGTGTGGAGCCTTTGATGTCTTCGGCATAGGATGGTTGTTTTTTTTTTTATTTATAATGACAATGACTATTTTGAGAACGTCATGCAATCAATTACCACACCATTTTAGCTCAATATTTGATCCCACAAGTGGTATTCTATTGGATTCATTTTGATTAAAGTACTTGATTGATTTCATTTGTTTTTTCTGTCATTAAAATTTTTCCTCTACTCATGTCATTTTGATTCTATTTCTAAAAATGTTGATTAATTGTGTTTTATATTTTAAGCTTTTCATATTTCTCACTCGAAAATTCTAATTCAAAGTTTTTTCTGTTAGATATATCTCTTTTTAGATACATAATATTACTGTGAGCATTTTGCTTAGTGCGAAATTTGTCAATCTCTTGAGTTGCAATTTAAATTTCAAATTAATATGATTTCGTTTTTTCTCTTATATATATATCTCTTTTCACTATACATAAATAACTGCGAATGATTTGATACTTCATAGTATCTGTACTTTCTGCATTTGTATCGGCGTGTCGTTGTGTGATCGTTCTGATAAATGATGTAATTTGGTTGGTTGTCAGGAAATACACACCGAGCCATGGTTAGTAATGATTGTTAGATTAATGGAATTGAACTGAGCCTCTGGAGTAGTAACGGATATGCAAGGCTACGGTATCTTTATTGGCACTAATCATCTGGCCACTATTTTTGTTTCTGGAATATTTCTTTTTGAGATCTACCATTCTAAGATACAATTCAATTTTCAAAACATTTAGTTGATGAATAAAATTTGCAACTATGTTTTCATAGATATCTGTGAAAATGTTTATGATTCAAATAATTTAAATTAATTGAACTGAATTATAATAAGTTTGATAACTTTATAGATTAGATATAACGATTTTATTAAAAAATCCTCATAATATAGTCCATAATGCTCAATGATTATTTCTGCAATACTCAGAGAATTGTATTAGATACAGTGAATAATTTATCAAATTGTATTAAGTTAATTTAAATCCAATCGAAATTGCTTAAACTAATTTTCTCATGATAAACAGAAAATATCAATTTTTATTTAAACAAAACATTTTTTTTGAAGAAAAAAGACAAAAAAAATTTTTTGCCAAATAAAAAAAATATTTTATGCAAAAGACTTTTTCGACAGATGTAACATCTCAATAGACGATTTATTCAAGGTGTCATATACATCACAAAGATTGGCAGACGAGTGCATATAAACATAAATATGTATCTGTGAGATGGACTGTTGGAAAGTTTGCTAAAAGGATAGCGCGATAGATTGGCACCTAATCAGCCATCAATTTTACGATTTCTTCACGCTGACTCAGTTCACAAACAAATGCTAACCGTTTCTCCAAATGGTCATCATTAAAAAAGAATATAACAATAAGTTAAGGATAAATTTTTATCAATTAACTGACAATAGATTTTTTTGATTAAATATCATTTCTATCGTACTTACCTGCATAAATCTGAAAATGAGCGCAACTGATTCGATATCAAAACTATGTGGTCATTTTACAATTATGAGATATTGTTCAAATTGATGATATTGCATTTAGCGCAGTTTTAGCATTTCTGAATATCTTTTTTTTAGTTTCAAAATTGAAATTTGTCAAAAATAAAATAATCAGTTGGATGGACTAAAATTAAAGAAATATCAAGAAGCTGAATGATAATATAATCCGAGTTTTAGTGGCATTCAAATTTCAACTAACTTCACTTGAATGTACAAAACTAAAATTTCAATGAATGATACAATCACCATTATGACAACACATATGCGCTTTATACAAAGGTTATGGATATCACCATCACATAATATTACAATTATCACTAGATGTCATTAGGGATATGTTGTACTAATCTTCATTGTCCCTTTAACAATGTAGCAAAGTTAATAAAAACTTTAAATTTGCAATTTTATGATCATTTCTTACATTTTGCACTTCGCGGTAATTGAATGTTGCGGTTTAAATGTTTGAAATACTGTAAATGATGCATGCAGTCAAATGTTTGCAATTTTTAAACTTAGGTTGCACGATATTTTTGATGAAATTTTTCATTTCCGGTCGGTGATATCAAAACAAAATTTATGAATGCAGCAAAATAGCATTAATGCAGCGAATGGTTTCAATGCAAGACATCCTGGTATGACTCTCATCCGAAAAGTTCTATCTTATCTTTGAAAATTAAATTCTATTTTCTTTTCCTTCGGAAAAGTTATTAACATGTTTAGGGTGAAGTTTGATAACGGAATTTTATGGAATGAAGCAGTTGGAATTTCTGAATCACGGATATTGCCTGTTGGAAATTTTATTCTCTCTCAAATTTCAATCATTTATGGATAATCCTTTCAAATTTTTTATATTTGAATACTGTGAAGTAAAAATTGCGAAAAAATTTGGTTAATATGATAATCAAATGATTTCATTTAATGTGAATTTTAATATTTAGAGAAAATGAATAATAATCAATTAATGATGGTATTACTATGTGGAGTGATGCAAAATATTTGTTTCAATTCCCATATATTTTTATGTCAAACGTTACTCGTGATTAGATTAACTATTAATGGAGGAGCTAATCAAATCCGATGCTTAATCAACAATTGCTGATTTGATATTATAAATAAAAAACAAAAAAATAAATAAGATATAACGTTGCTATTCAACTATATCTTCCAATAAGTCATTGGATATCATTAACAACGCACCTTTTTTTTGCAACCTTAATCTATCATCAAAGATATATGCAAATCTTTTTATTTGGATATTTATTTTATTTAGATATTTGCGTGAAATGATTATTATCCATAATGAAAATTTTAAATGAAATGATTATTAAAAAATTCTGAATAGAGAAAAGTGTAAAATTAATTTATTTACATACTTATATTGAATTGTTAGAGATATTTCATGAAATTGAAATTAGTGGAATTAAAATGATGGCAAGACGGAGCCAAGATGCCGGACGGATGTTGCTCATCAATAGGAATTAGAATCAGAAGCAAAAGGAATTTGTTACAACAGGGCTGAAAGAATTAACAGCAGCCGGAGGACGAGCATAAAAAGCAATAGATAGGGATG